CACCCCCCCAACGCCACCTCAGTGGCCTCCGCGCCGCATTAAGTGTTGCAGAGCTTTGTCAATGCCTCGTTTTAGACCCGGTTAAAGGATTAAGATTCTTCCCCCCCACTCCCAAATGCTTATTGTGCCGGGGAAAAGCAATTACAGGGAGCAGTCGGACGGCGTGGGTCGGCGGGGCTGGGACATGAAGCGGCAGGGGGGGAAGTCGGGGTGTCCGTGGCAGCTTCACCATCCCGGGGGAGCCTGGGTGTTCGTTCCCAGGGAGCAGTAGCAGGCACCTGCTCGGAGAACGGGATGCCTCTGACCTCAGCGTGGTCCCCAAGGATAAATTCTGCCCCGGCCTCCCCCATCTTCCTCCAGTACCTTCTAGGGCGCGGGTCCCGAGGTGCTGCACGGACAAGCAGTGCGGCACGTCGGCGTGGCAGCCGAGCCCTCGTCCAACCCGACCTCGAGGGAGGCGGCCAGCAGCGAGCACCTGCTCTGCAGAGGCGCTCAGCTAAGGGGACTCCATCCGCCATCTCTCTGCAGCCCCCGAAACAGGCCACACCGGCAAGTGCTCCCCATGCGGCATCTGACGCGGGGGCCGCAGCTGAGGCCCACAGCCCAGGACGTCTCCCTCCTTCCTCAGAGCTCAAAAGCCAGCCTCGCCAAGGCCCTGCACCAACGCCAGCCTGCGGACTCGGGGTGCAGGCTCCCTGGATGAGCTCCGTCCCTGCGCCCGGCTGGACTGGCCAGGGCCGGACACAGGCATGGGTGAATCAGGCGGATAGAAAGGTCACGTGTCGATTATTATTATCGTGCTCTCTGGCGAAGGGGGGCCCGATCCTAAAAGTTCACCCGGGGCCACCAGGAGTGCAGGGACGGCAGGCCCAGCGGGTGAAGACAGCAAACACCCACCCCCAGCCGCTTGGCACAGAGGGCCTGCCCGCAGTGAAGCAGGGGGAAGCTAGTACGGATGCCAGGAGCGGAGACGGGGGAGCTCCCACTGCCTCCGAGCGTGGCATCGATGCCTTCTTCCCAAGCACGAGCGCTCCCGAGTGCGGCGCGACACCCCGGCTCCGGCGAACCTGATCCCCAGCGGAGGCAATGCACGCTGCAGGGCTCGGGCTGCCAGAGACACACGCAGCCGGCAAATCCCCTCTAATGCCTCCCAGCCCGGGGGGATTAAGCCCGGGCAGGATCACCCTGGTGGCGGGCACCAGGCCCTCCATGCCGGGGGAGGGCGCGGCCGGACGGGAGGCAGAGCAAAGCTCCCCTTTTGTGTGCGGGCGGAAGCCACCGCGCTTGGCTCCTAATTTGCTGCTGATTGACTGGAGTCTAATGTTTCCCCTTCAGGTGCAGCCTCCCCAGACATGGCCCCTCTCTGCTCATTCGGAGGGGCTGGAGCCCGTTCCCAGCCCCAGAACAAGAGGAGGCTTTATCACCTTTGGCTGGGCTGGCAAGGCCTTCTGGGCCCCCTCTCCCCTCCTCACAGCTCCAGCCCCACGCCCCGCTTTCAAGCAGGCCCTTTGATCTCTTCCAAATCCCCCTGTATCTAAAGAGTAGCCAGGTATTCAGCCCACTCCTAACTAAGGTTTCCAGACAGCTCAGAGCGGGGAAAAGGCTTTCCCATCACCTAATGAGACTTCAAGTGCGTTAGCTGCTTGGGCGTAAACAGGAATCAAAACTCGTGGAAGAGGCGATAACTTTGATTAGACCAACTCGGTATTTATTTGGTAACTATGAATTTTCATTTCTACCCAGGAGAACTTGTACACGCCTACGCCGGATGAAGGGCGCGTGTGCCCGAAAGCTTGCGGATAAATAAAATATTTTTGTTGCAAAGATCCGGTTGGTCTAATAACTTGTGGAAGAGGCGATATCTTTGATTAGACCAACTAGATCTTTGCAAGAAAAATATTGCACTTATTTGCAAGCTTTCAGGCACACACTCCCTTCATCCAGCATAGGAGTGTGAAAGTTTTCCTAGGTAGAAGTGAAAATTCATATTTACACAATAAATATCGAGTCGGTCTAATCAAAGGTATCGCCTCTTCCACGAGTTTTGATTCCTTTGGCCTCTATCAGTACAGCTACAACCTGGATACCTGGTACATGGGTGTAAAGAGCTCACTCAAGCCACAGGGCAAAGCAGAGACAGAGGCAGGGGCAGAAGCCGGCACACTGAATGAGAGGCCTGCTCCTAGCACGCTGCTATAGGGCCCATCGCGAGATGGGGCAGGGGTGGTTAGAGCATGTCATGGCACTGCAAGAAGAAGACATTTAACATACAGAACCCCCTGGGTTTATGGTCAAAGACACCCATGAGTGCTCCTTTGGGGAAGAGGGGAGAAGCAGCTTTTTGCTGCACGTGCAGCTTCTTTAACACTTGACCCTAGGAAATAAAACTCCAACCCCTCTGACTGTGCTGTGACTGGACCCCAATATGACAAGGCATGGCTTGCGTCCCCCAAAACACCCCGGCCAGCTCCATAATGCTGCTTTGATGGACACTTACAATAGCTCTGTCTCTCTCTAGAAGTTCATTTTTATTCATTTTAGGTTTAAAAAAAAAAAAAAAAAAGAAAACAAATCCCAAAAGCTATATGTTTAGGCCTAAAATGACAAGCCTTTAAAGCCTGAAGAAGATAACGGAGCGGGTAAAAAAAACCTAACAGGGATCCCTCCTTGTCTGAGAGGGCCATCACGGACGCTACGCCAAGTCGTTCTTTTAGTCAACTGGGGGTTTGTGGGGCGATGAAATGAAGGGCCGGGGTCCTAATGTCTTGGAGGGGGTTGTGTCAGAAGGTGGAGAGGGCATAGGAGGTGGGGGCTTTCCCCCCCCACAACCCGGGGGAACGGGCTGGGAGCCGGGTTTCTCGCGGCACCCAGCTACGCCCCGATTCTGGGGGAAGCTGGACACGTACAACACAATAAATAAAATCAAGTGGCCTGCAACAATGATAGCACGGGGGGGGGAACAAGTGCTGGGGCCTTCGCTCTGCAACAGCAGGTCTCGACCTCCCCCTGGACCCCGCTTCTGCCAAAGCAGCGGCTTAGCTCAGAAGGGGGAGATGTCCCAGTGCTTTGGAGACCTCGAGTCGGTTCTTTGCTCAGCCAACCATTTCCCCGCGGAGCCCTGGGAAAGTCCCACAGATTCTGATCTGTGCCGGGGGGAGAGCCGCGCCACCCGATAACACGGCAATGGGCGACAGGGAGGCAAGCACCACGACAGCCTGCTCCTGCACGGGAAAGCCAGCGTGTCCTCAGCCCTCCGGGGTTCCCAAGTCACCTGGATTTCTTGGATCTGGAACGGACCAAAGCAGTCTCTTGCCCGGCCGCGGTCCGCAGAAGGAAACAGCCTAGGAGCTCGGCCGTGCCAGGATCCTTTCCCATAGTCCCCAAGCCAGTCCCGTGGCACTGCTCCCCCGCAGAGACGTCCCGCAGTCCGAGACCGCTCCGTGACAGGCAGCTGGGTGCTGAGCTGGGGTCGAGGGATAACAAAACCAGCCTTGCTCGCTGCCAGGCGGGGAAAGCGGCCATCGGGCTGGAACAAGCACTTCAATGCCCAGAGTGGGAGCTGAAGAAACCCCCCAGGAGCGAGCCCGTTGGCTGCCAGTCCTGCAGGGGGGCTTGCACAGAGGGGAGCAATGGGCGAACATCGGGGATTGTGACAGTGGGAGGCAAAGGGAAATCCAGCCTGGGATTATAGAGACTAGACATGCCCTCCTCAATCCAAGGTGTTTCCTCCCTCCAGCCAATAGTTTGTGCCTAAGAGAGTCAGAGTATAAAAATATAGCATCTTTGTAAGAAACATGGGGGGGGGGGGGGGAAAACCCGGGCCGGGGGGGCAAGGGGGGGGGGGGGGGAAAACCCGGGCCGGGGGGGCAAGGGGGGGGGGGGGGGAAAACCCGGGCCGGGGGGGCAAGGGGGGGGGGGGGGGAAAACCCGGGCCGGGGGGGCAAGGGGGGGGGGGGGGGAAAACCCGGGCCGGGGGGGCAAGGGGGGGGGGGGGGGAAAACCCGGGCCGGGGGGGCAAGGGGGGGGGGGGGGGAGGGGCCTTTGGGCCCCCCGGGGGGGGGGGGGGGTGACAACACGGGCCTGGGAGGCACAGGGTGGGAGAGGCAGAGTCCTATGTGCCACCGGGGCAGTGGGCACGGGGGCGGGCACACAGCAGGCCGTGTTGTCTGATGATGCCCGGGATGGAGCAGCTGCACACGTGGCTGTGGGGCACACAGAGCAGGGGGGGCATCCCACGTGTCCCCTGCGGGGTGGGGCAGCGTGTGGCACTACGTGAGAGGCCGCGGGGGGCGGGTGCGCTTGGTCCTGCGGGTCGGCGACGAGGAGCCCACAAACTCAAACTGCTTCTGCCGCTCGGCGTTGTTGGGGAAGGGCAGCTGGCCGCGGTACAGGCGCTTGATGAAGTGCGCTTCCCGCTGGTTCTGCCGGCTTTTGGAGGCTTTGCGGGGGCGGCCCTTGCGCGTGAAGGCCATGTACCAGCCCTCGTGGCGCGCGTTCTGGAAGGCCGTGTAGTTGTTCTCCAGCACGATCTCGGTGAAGATGCAGTCTTTGCTCTTGCCGTTGGGCTGCATGGGGGGCGAAGGAGAAGGGGGGAAAGGAGTAGGTTCCTCCAGCAAGGAAAGGGTTAAATGGACAGGGTTGCCGGCGTGCAGGGCATCACGGTGGCAAGCCCAGCTTTCCCTGCCCTTTCTTCCCCCACGATGCCAGAGCCTGTGCAATGTGCGCATTCGCTACCAGGGCCCGGATGTGGGGCAGCTGACCTAGGGCTGTGACGGAGCTACGCCGACTGCCATCAGTTGAGAGCCCAGGTTTTTATGAAGAGCCTAGGAACGGCAGCCGGGGCTGCTCAGGGTTGGCATCCCCCGGCACGTAGCCAGACAGAAAGACATCCCTGAGCCATGGTGCGCAAGGCCTGATCATTCAGCCCATTCGACTGCACATCATCCTTGTGCTAAGCGCCGTGACCACTGCCTTTGGCTGAAGCACATCTGCCCAGGGGCACCCGGGACGGAAACCGCAGGGGATGGGGTGGCCCTGGGTAGCGACCCAGCTTGGCGCTTGGGGTGCAGCATGCAGTGGGGGCGGGGAGGAGGTCCTAGGTCTGTGATTCACCTTTCCAATGAGCTTCCCTCTCTTGCTCATGCAGATGTACTTCTCGCTCTCGGCTCCCTTGATGCGCACGCGGCTCCCGAAAGTGTCCGTCTCCACAATCAGCTTTGCTGAAGGGAAGAGAGAGAGAAAGAGGGGTGGGGGGAGAGAGAAGGAGCCAGGGGGGACGGGAGAGAGCTCCTTCGAGCAACAGCCTGTCCACGTGCTGGCTAGAATAGCACTGGCTGGAGCGATGCGCCGACAGGCAAAGCGTCTGTATCGCTGCAAACCCTGCTCTCGCCCACTTCTGTGCTCTGCTACCTGCAGCCTGCACGGGTGTTTGCTTAGGTCACCCGGAGAAGGGGACCGGGCAAGAGGGCAGTAGCTGCAGGTTGGGAAGTCAGGGCAGTTTCTTTCCGAGCAGCCTTGGCCTTTTACATGGAAACAGAGCATTTGTGTTAAGGACATTCAAGCTCATCCTTTGCAGCTCTCTGACACACGACAGTTCCCAACGTGTCATGTCCCAACAGCGGGTGACGGAGGATTCCCCAGGAGCCAATATAATGTACCGCTGGACTCTGCGCCTTTGGCTTTTGCAGAAAGCTCAGGCTGCAATCACTGCCACATTAGTGACAATTCCCATCATATTTACTGGGGGGTTTTTGCCTTGCTGCTGGACTCTCCGCTTCCTTTAGGGGGGAAAAAGCGAGGTTTCCACCTTCCTGGTTGCAGAGAAAAGCTTTCACGTGTGACCCGCAAGCAACCTAAAGGCTCAGAAACCAGCAAGCAAATTGCCACGCTGCAGGGCAGGGGTGCTTTCCCAAAATCTCATGATTTTTAAGACAATCCCCTGGTTTGGGAAGGGTTAAGCCTGGCACGCAGGGAGTGGGAGTTGTTTATCACTGCTCGGTGCTAGGAGTGTTGTATTTAACCGCTTGAAATGGGGGTGCCGTGAGGTTTGTGGGGTGCATTTCAGCCCAGAGACTGTTCTGGGCCTAGGGTGAGAAGCCAGCAGGATGCATGCTTTTTTCTCTGCCCTCTGTCTCCAGCGTAACGCTTGCTGCTGCAGACGACTAGTTAGAAGCAGCAGGCGTGGACGGATATACATGGAGGCAAAACTGTGCAGCTCTGAGCCCTGTTGCACTGTGGGACCCACCAGGGGCCTGCGCTCTTCTAGATGAGCATCTCAGTGCACTCCCTTGCTGTAATAACGGGGAGGGACCTCCCCACATTTCTGAATGCATGCATCCCTGCTCGGGAGAAGACACCACCTCGCCAACTAATCAGGTGGCTCCAAGCTGAGCTCTAGCTGGGGCTAATGCCACCTCCAGGCAGCTTCCACCTCAGCCCTGGATGAGTAACAGCAATGAAGTCAGATGAGACGCTTGCCTCCCACCCTTAGGCCTCCGGCTGCAGCTGCTAAATCAAGCTGATTAGGAAAGGCAAGTTTAGGATAAAGAAAGGCAAGCTGCACTGGTCCTGCTTCATGCACCTAAGCGTGGCTGCTTGGTGCTTCAAGAGGACAGCCCTTCTCCCCGTGGACTGGCCGTAGTCCTAGGTACGTGCAGAAACTGGCACCGGGGAAGTTCATGCCAAGGGGGTGGGTTCTGTATTCCCCAGTCTGCAAAGTCCCTTATCTGCTGCGCTCTCAGGAAAACGTGCACCGTTTCCTTTATAACGAGCAGGTTTCCATCCAGTGGGACAATTAAGATTTTTGACTGTTCCTCACTGATTGGCCCACAGCTGGTCTGCCATGCCCTTCCTGATGAGACCTAATTAACTGATCCTACCCAATTTCTCAACAGATAGAGGAATTCCCCCTTCTGGGACAATTTTTAATTATCCTTTTTTATTTTTTTTTTCCCCCAGATGAAAGCTTCTGCGAAAGGGCGGCTTTTATCTTTTGGCTTTGGATAAACCCTCCTCTGAAAAGCATTACCATCTCTGTGCAACCCTGCAGTAATTAAAAGTCCGGATAAACTTAGTATTATTCATAACACAGACCCTTTCCATTTACCCTGATGCTGCTGCACGAATGGGAACCGGCCCGTTCTGTTGTCTAACAATAGGGACATCAATGCAGGCTTATTTCTTCTCCCACAGAAGCCGGAGAGCAGGAGCCAGATGTATTTTAAACCCAGTTAAAAATCTTCCCTTTGATTAGCTCAGCTGCTGAAGACAATGTACTAATCTTCCCAGCTACCTACATGTAGCTGTGTCTGAAGGTCAGACGAGATCTCAGTGCCCTGCCTTTCTGCTGCTAATTGACATTTAACCCCCAATACCGCACTAATCTAAACTCAGCTGGAGTTGCTCATAATTTCACCCTAAGAGAATCTAGGTCTATTGTCCCGAGAGCAAAGCTGGATTGTCACCGTAACAAGCCATTGTACCTCTGACACACTGCATTCCCTCCTGATGGTCAGATCACCCCCAATAACCTTGGCAGGAGATATTTTGGACATGCTGGATTCTTAAACCAAAATAGGGACATCTTGTCCCCACTGAAGCCTCAGGGAGCTTTGCCTCTGTTCCCAATAGGGCCAAGCTTTCGCCTGTCCTGAGAAAGCTCAGGTTGGACTGGAGTGTGCGCTTCACGACCGGGTGCAACCTTGCCCACGCTGGAGAAGAAACGCAGTGTCTACTCCCTGGTCACCCTCGTGACTCGCTGAGAGCAAAACTTGGAAGTCAGGACTGAAGTCCCCCCAGGACTCGTTTCCAACCAAAGCTGTGAACACCTTGCTCCAAACCCCTGCTCCCCCACTTCCCTGCTAGACCTGGGACTAGACCCCAGGATTCTTGATGTCAAGCCCTTCCCTGCTTTAAACATCATTCAACCTCATTCCTCTCCAGTGCTAGGCACAGAAACCAGATGCGTGGATGTCTGGTCTCCTGCTCTGGCCAGCAAGTTGCTGCATGATTATTCATTAGCACCAGCACTGCAGCTATGCCTAGCAGCCCTTGGCATGGGCTAGTTGGCAATGGGCTTTACCAACCCGATTCCAGAGGTGCAGTGCAGCCAGATGTGACTGAGGCAACCCTCCCTGGGAAGCCTGGCATTCCCTTGGCGCGTGGGACACCCCTCCAGCCTGCCTCTTTTCATCCCACACAGCTGAAGTGCTCCGAGCTCCTTACCAAACTTGTTGCCGTCCTCTGCGGTGGCCGTGATCCTTTTGCCGTTCACTTGGACGTGCTTGCCGCTGGTCCGGCTGTACAGCTGGTACTCCCTGATCTGCCTCCGACTCAGCTGGTCTGTCATGGCGCCCTGGTCCCTCACGTACTGGTTAAAATTAGGAGACGGTTGATTCTCCCCCTTTGTTTACAAAGGGAAAAATAAAATCAATTTGTTTTGGACAGCCCCACAGACGTGGCGAGGGTGTTGAATCGGGAGCCAACGCTGGAGCCTCCTGGGTGGGAGGCCTGGGCAGACCAGTGGGGTGAGGTCTGATGCCCTGCAGAGCGTGCTGGCTAGATGGCATGAGTTCAGAGCCAGCAGCTAACCCACGGACATCCTGGCAGGGATGGAGGTGGGTGCCCTGCAGAGGAGGCCGCAGACATGCCGCAGCCAGGCCCGAAGGCAGAGGCTCCCCTAGGCAGGAGTCCATGTGTCGGGTTGGGGTAGGAGCCCAGGATGTTGGAGGGGAGCCCCCAAGCAAACTCATGGACCCACCCTAGATGCCAGGGCATCCTTGGTCTGGCCCCATCCCGTGCAGGCAGCGATTCAAGGCCATTGCCACCGGGGATTGCAGGGAGATGATCATTTTGAGCAGAGACCCTCACTCTAACTCCAGCGCTCACTTCACCCAAACCCGCTGCTACGAATGGAGGTACTAGGCAGCTCTGGCAGAGGACAGATTGGGGTATATCTGCCCCGCACATGCACATGGGGGAATGCTTGTACGGTTCCCCTACCCCATCCATCCTGCTCAGGCCTCTTGCAAACTTGGAGAGACAGCCTACTGGAAAACAAGCTCACTGGGGTCTCTCGTTGTCCTGTTATGGGGCACTTGGGATGGTTCCCAGTTATGGGTTTATGAGCCTTGTCAGCCACCGAAAGTCCTTCTCTCCTGTGATAACAAGACTCAGTGCTGCAGAGAGAGGATGCCCGCTCTGCACAGACAAGCGTCTGGTCCGTCTCTCCGTCCATTCACTGCGATCTGCTCTCTACCGGTGAGACCGTCTATTCATACAGTGCATGGAATAGTCCACTGAGCTCATCTTTGAGTTACCATATATAAACCATCCATCCATCTATTGCAACGCTGTCTATCCATCCACCCACCACCGTGGTATCTGAGCACCTTCGTATCATACTACCAACACAGGGCTTATTAGCATGCTGGAGGAGAAAGTGAAACAGATGAAGCTCTTTTTTTAGCCTCACCATAACTGTCCTCAGTAAATGAGAACAGGCAGGAAATAGGCTGCGGGAGAGAAGGAAAATGCTTTCCACTTAACAAGTCTTTCTCTGTGTGTGGGATCAGAAAAGACCGGGTGGGGAGGTCCTGTCCCTGAAACATTACAGTCAGGAGCAGTGTGCGAGAGAGGTCCACGCCGGGCAGAGCAGCCCAGGCCAGCTTGAGGCATCTGTCCAAACACAAGCTACTTGCTGGTGCCCTTAGCCTGAGCATGCAGAGCTTGTGCTGCTGTCTTGCCTGTTCCCCTGACTGCCCTCCAGTACTCCCGCAGGAGCCGGGCTCACCCTTAGAAGTGTCCAGGCCCGCGGACCAGGGCTGCACATGGCAGGACGGCAAGGGAGCTGCCGACCGGAGAGGCGGACATCTCCCGGGGCCACAGCCAATGCCGACACCCCCAGAGCGAAGCAGAACTTCGCTGCCGCGCTCCGGTGTCCCAGGACACACCAGAGCCTGCCACCGGCCTCCCTGATCCCAAAGCAAATGTTAAACCGGAGCCTCGGAGCCTGACAAACCCATTGCAATGTCCCAGTTGATAGAGCTCGTGATAACCGAAGCAGCCCCTGCATGACTGCAGCCTTCACCGGCCAGGCTACAACCGGGGCACCCAGAAGGCGTGCGGGGAACGGGGGCTCTTTCTGAGCGGCAAAGCATCACAGATCAGATAAATATCCCAGCTCATTTCTAGCCGCCCCCCTTTCATCCGACCCCACCTCAGTTCCCCTGGAAAGCATCTTAAGCCATAGCAAACTCAGCAGCAAGCCCTGTTAGGCTTTTCTGTCAATGCAGAGAGGTGGAGAAGGCCGACAGATTTGCGGGTTTGGGTACAAATGCCTTTGCGCTACGGGGCTTGTATGCTGCCAGTGAGCTGCGTGGACAGGCGCTCTCCCCTCTCCTCTCCTCCCAGCAAAACGGAGGGCCAAATGCCACTTACACGTGCGCCCCGCCACCAGCCGGGATTACAGCAGACTCAGCTGATGTCACCAAGAGCAAGATCAGAGTTTGCTCTTAACTGGATTCTGCTCTCACTGACACCCGATTTTGCACCAGCTCAGTGCAGCTGACGTCTATATCTGGAAGGACTCCGGATCCACAGAATCAGCCCAGAACACGCAGCTCACTCCCAGGGCTGCTAAATAAAGTGTGTATTGTGCCCCAACCGGCTTTGTGACTCACGTTAATGCCCCACCACAAACACACGCTCCCCAACACAAGAGTTATTATATGGTAAATGCCAGCTAATTACCACGGACAAGCTGATTGAGGATTATCAGCATTGTGGCCCATCTGTATTACAGAGCCAGAGCTATCACCCAGCAGTCACACTTCAATCAGGGGCTTTTTATGAAAGGGGCTTCATTTAATCTTTATGCAAGTGGAGTAGGAAGCCCTGATGTTAAGAGCCAAGGGTGAGATTTTCAAAGCCGCTTAAGAGATCTGGATGCCCTGTTCAGACATCTAAATTAGAGCCGCTCACATCCATCTCACGGAAACCTTGGTTTCCCAGTGAAAAATGACTCGAGTCAAAATTGCCCAGAAAGAAAAGGAAAAAAGCTTCAAACCATGTTGTGTACAAATGGTCCTTTTGGGGGCAATGTTGGTAAATCACTGCTTCTGGTCTGTTTGCTTGCTTGGCTGGCTTTCGGCCACTATTTTGAACAACAGCTCTCAAAGAGGGGACTTATTTTCCCCAAACTGACACTATTTGTCCAAACTCGTTAATGCATATATGTTTTTTAAACTGGGAAACAAAAATCTGTCTAAAGGAAATGTAGATTAAACCGCGTTGGATTTTTTAGCAACAACGGCCGGAGCGTTGGAAGCCGTTCTAGTCCAGACCCCCGAGCTTGGGCCATCTCAGCCAGAATGAAACATTATAGCTTGGGCATGACACCTGGACAAATATATAGAGCCAAATCCTCAGCTCGCGCAAATGGGTGTCGCTCCTTTGACTGCAATGGAACGATAATGGCCATTAGTCAACTTTCTGCCGGCCTGAATTGCAGCCTGGCTGTTAACAGAGCAGAACCGAGACCCTGGCTGCCCACTGCTAATTCAGTGCCAGATCCAACAAACTTTTTTGCCACTGATTTGGGTGGAGCAGGAGCAAGCTTCTTCCTTAAGCCATCTCAATGGCTGGAGGTGATGGACAGATTTTTTTTTAAATTCAGCTCATCAAAGACATTCCCAGAGCGGTGATATGGACCACTGGCTGGCTCAGGCCTGTCTGCTTAAGAGAGAAAAGCAATAATAATAAAAAAAAAAACTGGTAACAAATACAGCCCCCTGGACCAGCATTGTCTCGGTATTTCATGGATGTCTTTGGAGTTGGAGCTTTCACTCGGGCCCAGGTCCTCAGAAGAAGGTTGCTCCCGTAAGAAGAGAAATAAGCAGCCGGCTTGTCCACAGGGATTCAGAGCGCTTCAGATGTGGCTCTGTCGCTAGGAGCCACGCGTCTGGGAAAGCCCATCACAGCAGTACACGATAGCTGCTCTTGAGATGGCACTTTTCTGCTTGTAAGGAGTGCAGAAAGCTCCTCTTAACCCTGCGGCAAACAGGTCATCCAGCCGAACGCAGCTTCGACTCGATGTCCTGGCAAGCCTCGACGCCTGCCTGTGCGTGGCGTGCGTCTCGAGTCGCCCTTCTGCAAACCGAATTTCATTCCAAGGCGCGAGGTATTGCCTCCAGCCTGGCAAGGGCGCTCCCAGCCCGTATGCCTGTGCTGGCGAGCTTCCTCGCGCTGGAGACAGCAAGCTGCGAGCTCATCACGGGTGGTTTGGCAGAGGCCGAGCGCAGCGGGGGCCTGCTCTGCTCCCCGTGCTCATCGCATCGTGCTGGACCGGAGTGGGGCGGCTCTGTGCTCTGCTTGGGGAGGGCACTAGGGGAGCTGATGTGCCAGGTAGGACCCAGGCGGGTCCCCGCTAGGTGAGT